GGACAAGAAATTGTGGAGAGCCATGATCGTCAACGTCCTGAAGGGACATGGCACATAGAAGGTGTCAATACTATGCATAAAACTTTCCACTTTCACTTGTACATGCAAGTCTACGTTAAAGTAATAGTGATACTAGCTATGTCCTGATAAGGAAATATTCGGAATCCATTGACCGAACAGCTAGCATTACTGTTGGTTGAAATTTATAAAATCTTTCCCTTGAGACACTTCTCACATCAACCGTTATCACTCTTTCTAATATTTATGGAGTTTCCTTCTGTTGTGTCGGAAACCTACCACCCCTCTTGAAGATGAACTTGTCTGCGTCTGTGAACAAAGACTTTAAATAGTGGCATGTCAGTTGACATGGGGAAGATAGATAGACAGAGAAGTTCTTAGCTGAGCTAGTTATTGACTACTCTGGCGATTTCTGTACCTTTTTACCAACCTATTAAAAGCCTTTTTATTGTTACGTGTTATTTGGCGTTTGTCTCTACTAACCCCAAATCAACATCATAACACCTTCCTAACCTTTTGTTCAATGCAGTATCTAAAGGCAACATTTTGATTATATCATTATTTTCTTTTCCAGTTACATGTGCTATCCATTGTAGTTGTTGCTAGTGTTGGAACTCTTTCATGAGAGGTGATTTTTTTTGATTTCACAAAGTTCTTTGTGATTCTGTAGCACCAGCCTATGAGATCCAAGGAAGGATATTTTTCTTAAAGACTTAGGGGGATTAATTTGCTCAAAGCTATGATTTGGCTTTCATTTGGTAAGAGTTCTTTGTTTGGGATTTTGTAAGGAGAGTCTATAAGGTCTGATGAAGGGATGAAACCATTTTCAACCCCAATCTAAGAAAACAATTGTATATAGCTGACAATTTAGACATTTTCAAGAGACTGGGCACCATGTATGACAATCGTACACAAGTCTAGATCTAATAAGGTTGTTTAAGAGGATGACGAGAGTTTTAATGTTAATATTTTAATCCCTGGTGCTTCTGTCTATATATATATATATATATATATATATATATATATATATATATATATAGAGATATAGAGAGAGAGAGAGAGAGAGAATTCTGTGATTTCTGTTAGTCTGTCCATCAATCACTCCCTCTAAAATAGCCATACATTGACCTTTCGGAACCAAATATGGAGAGAATTGTAAAGAGGTAAGTGGGTAAAAAGTACAATTGGTTTTACTAGGGTGTATAAATAAATTTTCAGCAATTTTTTTGAAAAAATTAAAGGTTTTATTATGTAACATACAAAATACTCCCACTATTTTAAAAACAATTTAATCTTGTATCTATCAATATATAAAATTCTGTGACTTCCATTATTCTGCCTGTCCATCTGTCACGCCCTGTAAATACAGTTGGTTTTCCTGGGGTATGTAAAAACCATGAAGTAGGGTTTTTGTCAAGTACTATTCCAAATAAATCAATTTATTCAAATTTCATCTATTGGTATGCAAAATTCAATGAAATGTAGGGCTTGTAAATCTTGACAAAAAATGTTTGCAATAACTTCAACAATACTAAATACTATGAGGATTTTAACACACATCAGCGGGTTGGCAAAAAACTCTAGTAAACCATAAAATTAATGGTTTCCAAGCAAAGTTCCAAAATTCTGAACTTGAGGTATAGTTTTGATTTACCCTAGCTGTAACATTGAAAAAAACATTACGGAACTACATGAATTTCAAAATGACTTGTAAACTATGTAAGTATACTTTGAACATAATTTTTGTCTAAATCTATGGGTTGAGGAGTTGATTGTTTGGTTATCATGAGATCAAAACACTCTCAGACAACATCCTCAAATGTGTCGAAGACTACAAGTATCTAGGATCACACATCAAGAACTCTGAGAAAGACTTCAACATTAGAAAAGGCATAGCATGGACTGCTTGTAACAAAATGGATAAGATCTGGAAATCCAATCTTGCTCGTCAATTCAAAATCCAACTTTCCGCATACTTATTGAGCCAATCTTACTCTATGGCTCTGAAACTTGGACTCTCTCAGCAAAACAACAGCGTCGTTTAGATGGATGTTCCACACGTCTTTTAAGAAGAGTGCTTAATCTTTCATGGCGAAACCGCCCAACTCTAGAAATGATATATGGAGACTTGCCGAGAGTATCAACCTTAGTTTACAAAAAAACCTGTCCAGTTCGCTGGGCATTTTGCACGTGCCACAGATGAACTTGCGTCATCATTTGTACTCTGGAGGCACCCATCATCTGACAATTGATCACAAAAGTTAACCTTTCCAGATAGGATAAAACGAGACACATTGATCCCTAAGGAAGATCTTTTAAGAGCTATGACGGATAGGGAATACTGGAGAGGTGTAGTGAGTTCAATCTCGGCTGAGGCCGCAGGATGATGATGATGATGATGATCAGCAACTATGGGTCATTAATACCAGAGTGGTTTGTTAGTTGATTTTGTTCAGTCGTAGGACAACCACCATTGACCACTCCATGTTGAAATCTAAATATTTTGTATACAACTTTATGGTTTTAACTACAGATGTTTTTTAACAACAGAGGATCAAGTGGTTTGGACACCTCACTTGTATGCCTATCAACCAACCAGCCCTATGAGCATAAACCCTCAGGTACTCTGGCTGGAGAACAAGAGGTAGACCAAGAAAAAGTTGGAGCAACTCAGTGGCAGACACTCTCAGAGCCCACGAGATATCTCACCTCCAGGCCACTCGCCTTGCTGCTGACAGCGGACTGTGTCTCAACACAACGCCTAACTGCACAAATGGAAGGAAAAACTAAAACTAACTACAGATGTTTGTATGCAATTTTATACTTTCAGTTTAAACGTATGATCATTTTATTTAGTTTATAGATAATAAAATGTATCGTGCTTTCTTCGATAAGTGATGGAAGCAGCTTACTTCTTTCAGGTAGCCTATTATTTGAGAAAAAGATACATTTTTGAAAAACATGTTAAGGTTTTATACATCATAGTATTTGTTGTGCATTGTTTTTGTACTTTTTGCAGTTTATTAGAATGTGTATGACAGTGAGCAATTGATAGCAAGAGATGCACCTAGGTGCAGTTTCTACTTCAAGTAAGTATTTCTGGCTAAGATATGCATGTCCAAATTGAACCCTGCTTGGCACTATGTCCTGTCATTATTTACACTACTTTTGGACTATTGCCCTCATCTTTTTTGCTGTTATCACAACATTTCAGCCATTGTGCCCTTTGACCTTCCCCAGGTGTAGATCGATATGGGAATTCTGAACTGAACCCTTTATTTTATCTACAGAATAGTCATCAGCCCCTGTGGAATGAAGTGAAAATACTAGACAAGGAAGAATACTGAAAAGTTAGATATCTGAAACAATGAGCACATATGCTAGGCTATGAGAACCTCCTTAGTAGGCCTAGCATAGAAATAAATTCGATATGGGAGCTACTAATAAAGAAAGACAAATGAAAGCAAGTCTTCAACCACAGCAACAATGACAGCAGCAGTAGTTGCAAACTAATCAGCAGCTAGGTTAAGTTTAAGGCTCTAAATTTAGTTACTGGAAGATACACAGAGAAAACAAGAACGGCCAATAATTGAAGCAGCTAAAAAGTTCAGATAAAACCATAATAAAGTATCTTTTTTGAAAATACAAAAAAAAAGACTGGAGTTAGATATCCGAAAGAATGAGCACATATGCTAGGCTATTAGGACCTCCTTAGTAAGCCTAGCATAGAAATAAATACAATATGGGAGCCGCTGATAAAGAAAGATAGACAAATGACAAGTGAGCCTTCAACCGCAGCAGCAGCAGCAATCAAAACATGACAGCCAGCAACAGCTGTTGCAACCTAATCAGCAACTAAGAATAGGTTTAAGGCTCTAAATTTTACTACAGCAAATTGTCCTATGGGAAGTATTGGTTTGTGAATTTGATGACATATTGAGTTCAATCCCTGGGTTGGGCAGTGTCTACTCATACTAACAGGAAACGGTCAAGCAATAACTGAACAGTACTAAATAAGAACTAGACAATATTTCTAGATATGAGCAGTGGAACAAGAAGAGTCTACCCCCATAGATTAAATAAAGGGTTCAGTTCAGAAATGGTTTTTTTTTTTTTTAAAGTATTTTTATATTTTTAATTTAACTTTTTAAAATTTTCCTTTATTTGGATAAATTAATATTAACCTTATTTTCATGTAACTGTATTCAACATTCTTTGTTTAATTCAAAACTTTTATAAAGTTATAGTGAATTATGAATTAATATTGTCAAAGCTTCTAATATGCAGGACTGAGCATTTGATTTAATAATTTTTCAGTTTTTTTTTTAAATCTATGCTTTTATTTCATAACATTTAAATGTATACCCTTTAAAAATTTTGTTAAGTGTTCCGTGATATTTTCATTTGCTCCTAGGTGTGCTGTTGCTTAAAAAGGCTGAGAAACACTGTGTTAGGAATATACAGTTTGTAACAAAGGAGTCGACTTCAACAGTGTAAGGGACGCAACTCTTTCCATCTGAAAATGTCTGACATGCTGCAACGCAAAGCAATGTACACCAAACACGGGTGTAATGCCGTTGTGCCAATTTCTCCAAGCGACCTGCTTTTATGGAGCCCAGACACACCTCATTAACATGTGTGTAACACGACTTTGCGTGACTGCACGAGACCGTGAATATTAAAAAGTCACGGACGCCATCTTGGATCTTTTCTTTCTTTTCTCAACCCACAGGCCAGACAGACATGAGGGCATTTGGGAGGTAAGCCATTTCTATTTTCCCCACACAATTGAAGTAGACTTTAGAAGAACCAGAAAATTAATCATAAGTATGAAACAAGGGATAAACCTCTACTCCATTTCAATGTCTTTTAATCTTAAAACTAGATAATTAGGGCATCTTGATAAGTCAGTACAAACGGGCCAGAGGGTGGCATCCTCCGAGATTAGACAATTTGACTAAAAGAGAATTAAAATAACTTACTTGTTGGAATAATGACGTACATCTCCGCAGTCAAAGGCCACAATAGAAAACTTATATTTCAGTTGGTTTTCATAATTCAAACTGAGGCCATCTTTCACAACCATTTTGGCAGCACCAGTTTTATTGTTCAAGAGTTTCACCTCAAATGGCACTTTACGTGAGTGTGGCCCAATAATTTTATAGCCACAGACTAGTCCTGATTTTCCTTCATCTTTGTCCTCGGCAGTAATTTCTGGTCGTAGTTTTACATCCTTTTCATCTTCATATAAAGACCCCAAGAAGAAGTGTTCTCCATTGCGGATCTTCTGTGTTGATTTGAGAACTGGATCATAGAAATTAGGTTCTGAAAAAAAAACAATAAAATAAATTATCAGTTAATATGTGGTGGGCCCAGATAAAAAAAAAAATATAAGAAAATAAAATAAGAAAAATAAAATAAAATAAACAAAAAAAATAAAACAATTCAAATTAATCTTTAGCCCTCTGCATAATTAATATTACATCCCTTTCTATGGCATTCTTTTTCAAAGCCTCTCAATTGCAGTATCTTTGTTAATTTCTTTCAAAGTTGTTTTCTGTTGCCATGGCGGGATATGGCAGCACAACTATGAAATTCAAACATACTATTATTCAGGGATTGGAGTCAGCTTCAGTGGCAGGATAAACTTTTTGTACAGCAAATGAAGTCACATACAGAGCGATAAAGGTTAAAGACATTTTCTTTCCTTTAAAACACATCTCTCTAAGAGAAAGAAGTTTGACCACAACTGTGTTTGCTGGCCCCAATTTCTAGTCATTATGGATAAAATCTAACAAAATAAGAGAGATTCCATGTATAACTTCCACTATAAAAAAAAAAAATGAAAAAGAAAGGAACATCTGAAAAATAAAAGAATTTTGGCCAATCAAAAAAAAACAAAAAAAAAAAAAACAATGATAGCCAAAACCAAGCTTCACACCAGTAGTCTGGATCCCCTTTCTTAAGGGATATAAACAGACAGCCAATGAGCAGAAAGAGAGAGAGAAGGGAACACCAGAGAAACAAGCCAAGTGTGTTGCATGAAGTTAAGCAGTCATCTGCTTAAGGTATTTTCCCACCCTTCTGAGGGCCAACAATACTTTGCACCTATTTCCAAAATAATCACACTCCCGACAGATGACTACTGCTACCAAAGTGACTATCAACTATCAAATATCTATCCAAATGAACTTTCGCTACGTTGAATTACAGAGGACTCACTCCAATCAAAGTCAAAGAAATAAATATATATTATTTGTTTATACTTTGGATTATGTTCATTTATTTCCAAAGTTTCCAAGAAAGCTAAGAACCTCTGGCATTTCTTCACAAATACCTTGATTGGAAAGCACTGCAATATTTCCAACCTCAGACAGTCAAATTGTAATAAAGAGCATCTTTTTATATGACAATGCTTAAACCATAAACTCCCTAATGGTAGACATCGATGTAAACAGTTAATTTCAAAAAAATATATTTCCAGGCGTGGTGACAGTGACCAAGCAGTTGAATGATTGATGTGCTTTTTATGTTATTTTAGGTTATTTAAAGCTGGAAAATATTTATTTTTAGATTGTAAGAATTTGACAAATTAACCCATAGCTGTGGGTAGAAGATGTTGATTCATACTTTTTCTAAGGGTATTTGCATATAAGCATATGTAATGAAACCAACAAGAATTAGAACTTTGCTCTCCAATTAACAATTCTAAGCCATTATCCATTACACCACCTGCACAACCAAGCTTACAGCACCTGGTATTCACAAGTGGTCACTGAGCGGACTCGACATTGGTGATTGTACAAGAACCAGAAAGTGCAGTTCAAACTTCACTTTGTACTTTGTACTAATGCCCTTGGAAAAGGTATAAGTAGGAAAATACAGAATGACTCACCAAATACTGAACCGATTAATTTTTTTATAGAAAACCACAAAAAAAAAAAAAAAAGAGGGGGTGCTGAAAAATTCAGGGTCTGTTGCATATCCTAAAAATCAATATTGGTCATTGAAATTGTTGTAACCTAGGGAAGGTTACTGAACAGAATAATCACATGAAAGTTGGTAATGAACAATAATACTTAGGACAAGAACAACACATACAAGATTTGCCAGCGGCGCTTAGAAGTAGTAGTCAACTGCTAGAAGTGAGTCAAGTGAATTCCACAATGAATCTTCAACTGCAGGATATCTACCAACCGGCCCAAACAATCAGACGTGGCAGAAAGCTGAATTTAATGTGGGGTTTCCCGAGCCCGTGGGCTCAGCCAAACATTCCCCTTAGACCTCGTATAAAACGGGGTCGGGTAGCTGTTTCCCTGAGACGAGAATCTGCCTTTCGATATGGCCTCGTCTGGGGATTCTCTCTGCCCGGAGGCAGAGAGTTTGACCAGTACAGCTGGAGACGAATCTAACTGCAGACCAACATACAGTATTTACTACTGTATTCATGTGAATGGGGACACACCCATTATCATCCATAGGTATGCTGCAACAGACGTTTTAGGGGAATGGGAAGTAAAGCCAAGAACTTTTCAGCACCTCACCATACCAGCCAAATTTAACAAAAACTAATTTAAACAATGTATAAATTTAACGACTGAACAAATTTTAAAACACTTTCTTCCACTTTTTCCATATTATGAATGTAATGGTGCTTTATCATGAGCCTCTCAGAAAACATAGTAAAGAATGCCGTCATAATTAAAACCATTATTTCAATATTCAACAATATTTCAACCAAATACCCTCTGGTCATCATCAGATGTCAATTGATTGACTTGCCTCCCTGTGCATTTTCTATAAATACTTTCATGGTAATTATTCGGATAAGTCCTTTGCTATGATACCTAGACTTTATAAATTTAAGCACAGTACCTGACTGACAACAAAGTGTCATCAATTTACAGTTGAGCTGGCTAGGTGTAACTGTAAGTAACATGCTAACAGTTTCTTTTCTTGCATGTCTTGCTCATGGAACTCCCTTCCAGCTCCATGCATTCCAGCCAACATTAAAGTTAAATGCAATGTCAATCATAAGTCCCTGTGTCTTAGTGACTTTACTGCCTTGCATGGAGTAAGTCCAATTAAAAAACAAAACAGTTTTTTTTTTTTTTTTTTTTTTAGCACAAAAAAAATAATAGGGGGCCACACTATACACAGTTAATTATTTTGAAGAGGTTAAAAATCATGCATTTTCGGTGACCGGTTGCACTAAACACAGGTATTTTTTCTTCAGTCTGTTCACATCTATCTATCTCTCTGTCTGTTCACATCTATCTTTCTGTCTATCTTCAGTCTGTTCATATCTATTTGTCGATTATTGAGACATTATTTTATCCCTGAGATATCAGTTATTGTCGAATTGGTGTGTCACTATGAAATCCAAGAGTAGAACTCACTAGGTGACAATAACACATTTATAGCCAACTCCTATATCCACTATGCCACCATCCTTCTGTGAGAACAATAGTTGGAAATTATGACAGTTACTCATCTCAGAAATGAAATGCTAAAGTATACATGAAGTTGGTATTTTCTTAAGCCCTATTATTAGTCAGCTTTCAGATATTAAATTTTACAGATTACCCACAATGTCAAAACTATATAACCAATCTTAAAATACTGCCATATGACAAACAACACTCTTATAATAAATATTTTTCACCATCTGTTTACCTGTATATAAAAATAGGTGAAATTCTGAGATTAACGAGCTAAAGATTAATGTTTTTGTTTTTATTTTTTTTTTTTCCTTAGGATAAGCTCTTTAATCACCTTTAGGAAATTTAAAAAAGATTAATCCCTCCTACACCATATACAGAGGAAGTCACTGTGATCACGCGATGAGATGATTTTTTTTTTTTTAGAACAATAACCAGCTGATAACATTAAGCAAAAGACATAGAAAATAGAACAACTTAAACTCACACATTAAATTGGTTGATTTTCTTGGTTTTACTTTTTTTTTTTAATCATTTCACTTCAAGCAAGGTAATAAAGCCACTAAGGTGCAAGGTGAGAGAATACGAGAAAAAAATGATTAAGGAGATATATATTTATAGTTATAAAAGAACAGGAATTAAGAGGACAGAAGTAATGTTACTTTTGTGACATACAGTGGCCGTTAATGATTAAGTATAACTCAAGACTTCAGTGTTAAGATAAAACCATATTTAATTACAACCGCAAATAAATATTTAACAAGAACAAAGAAGTAAAAGTCAACCAAAGATAACTATTTCAGTGAATACCTTGTTAGTAGCGCGGCTCGGCTTAACATCCGGTAAATCCTAAAATCAAAAACCCAAATCATCGACGCACAATAATTCACACTAATTCGACTGGATAGTTCCACTCAATAGTTACTCAATAATCACTGCAGTCAGTAGCCTGACACCGGTATTTATACACCTGACAGAAAACCTATATTCATAAGTCCAGAGTGTCACGCTCGAACCTCGGTGTCGGTAATTACTCATCTTCTTCCTATATGACAAATATCAATCGTTATCCCCCTCTATTCTTAATTCTTTTTCTTTTATTGTTCTTCCTTAATAATGTTTTTCTTTTTCTTCTGCTTTTTTCATACTCAGTACCTCCCCTTTTGCTTGAGGGTGAAAATGATTTTTAAAACATCGATCATCAGACAAGCGAAATGTGACAGAAATCCTAACGGATATAGGAACAGGAAAAACAGGCTTATAGAACCTAAGCAATGTATTACGATATAGGAAAGTTCTGTTAGAATGAAAAGAAATGGGAGCTGAAATGCTGAGAGATATCTGTTTTGACATTGAAAACACAAAAAATTGAATGACAAAATGAAAAAAACAAATACATTAACAATTTAACATACTATTTTTTGTGACGTACGTTGGCCGTTAATAATTAAGCATAACTCAAGATTTCAATGTTAAGATAAAACAGCATTTAATTACAACCGCAAATAAATACTTAACAAGAACAAAATGAAAGTCAACCCGAGATAATTAACCATTTCAGTGAATACCTTGTTAGTAGCGCGGTTTGGCTTAACGTCCAGTAAATCCTAAATCAAAATGAACACACAATAATTCACAGTAATTTGACTAGATAGTTCCACTCAACTATCACTCAATCACTACTACCCCAACATCACTATTTATACACCTGGCAGAAAACATATATTCATAAGTCCAGAGTGTCATGCTCAAACCTTGGGGTAGGTAGTTACTCATTTTCTTCCTATATGACAATTACTATTTGGCATCTTGAAATGTCAGAAAGTGAAAATTCTTGCTCATTTTGAATGTATAAAGATTTCAATATCTGTCTATATCTCTGAG